AAAGTGGATGTTGGGAAGATGCTTCCATTGGTAGGAGAGACCAGGACCCAAGGGCACAGCCTTAGAGTAAAGGGAAGACCTTTTAGAACGGAGATAAGGAGAAACTTCTTCAGCCAGAGGGTGGTGAATCTATGGAATTCACTGCCACAGAAGGCTGTGGAGGCCAGATCATTGAGTACATTTAAGACTGAGATAGATAGGTTCTTGATTGTCAAGGGGATCAAGGGTTACGGGGAGAAAGCAGGAGAATGGGGTTGAGGAACTTATCAGCTATGATTGAATGGTGGAGCAGACTCGATGGGCTGAATGGCCTAATTTCTGCTCCTATGCCTTATGGTCTTATGATCTTAAAATTAGCAACTGCTCCAGCTTCCACTGCCATTGGAGGAAGAGAGTTCCAAACCTCTACCGCCCTTTGTGTGTAGAAGTGCTTCCCAACATCATCCCCTAAATGGTCCGGCCCTAATTCACAGACTATTCCTCCAAGTTCTAAGAATCACCAACCAGTGGAAATTGTTTATTTTTATTACCCTGTCTTCTCCTGTTAGTTGGATGATCACATCAAATGATGGAGCAGGATCAGAGGGCTGAATGGCCTGTTCCTATTTTCTACGTTTATCCTCCATTTCTCTGTTGATGCTGTGGACTTTGGATCTTTTTAAAACAGCACTGTGAATTTGAACAAGAGGATTATTTGTGATCAAGAGCAGGTACCCCTGCTGATTATTAATTAAATGCCCCCTTAGCTGCCAACGGCTAATTGAAATATTCACAAATCCCGTGTTCTGACCAGGCAACATGGTCATTGAATACCATTTGACTTTGCACAATACGCTCTTGGTATTGTCAGAGATTTCTTGAGAGAACATTGTGACTTGAAAAGACCTCATTCAAAAGGGAAATCACACACAAGCAAAACAAATAGGACAGACATATTGTTTTGGTGATAAGATAGGAAAGGATTGTGGAAGCATGGTGCTGACAGGGAGATAACACTCTGTGCCTTGCTACAGGATATGGATCAATGGAGGAAAGGAAGTGGTACTTGCTGACATTGCAGTCATGTGACCTCATAGGAAATGGAGTTGATTGGTCACCTGACTCAATTGGACCAAAAGAGGATTTAGAGGCAGCTGTGGGCAGTGTGAGGTATGGTCAGTTGGAAAAGGGTCTGGTAAGTTGTGTTTCTGTGTGAGCCAAAGGTTGTGCTAACCTTCTGGGTTATTGATTTAGTGGTGTGCTTTTTGGCTTTTTGCCTTGTATATGAAGAAAGGTTGTTTTCTTTCTATGCTGTGGTTAACCCATTAGCTATAGGAATGAAATGTAGTTACTGGTTTGCTGTGAGCACTTTTCCTGGTGGCTATTGTCACACTTGTACTACAAGTGAAGTCTACTTTAGTGACTGTTTCTTTAGCTCCTGGGCACTAAATTTTTTTTTTTGGTCTTGGATTGGGTTTTTTAACTTGTTGCTTCAACTTGGTATAGTTCCATACCATGGTCTGCAGAAGTAAAATAATAACTTTTTTTTAAATCAATTTAAAATTCTCTCTATCCTCTTCTTTCTACCTCCTGGAAGAAATGAATTTTCCAAACTAATTGCTGTATACCTAAAATATGATAGGTTTCTCTTTTTAAAAAGCCAAATTCCATGTACCCTGCCCCCACCCCAACCCTGTCTGAATATTGTGGGATTCTGCTAGTGAATTAACTCACTCATGGGCTTGAAGCCACTGAGCTCTGTTCTCTCTTTACCTAGAGGTAAAGACCTTCTCGCTAAAGTGTAATTGAGGATTCTGGGTCTCCAACAGAGTTTAGGAGGATGAGGGGTATCTGACTGTACAGTTGACTGAGGCCTGGACAGAATTGCTAAGGAAAGCCTCTCTAGGAGACTAGGACCTGAGGGCATAGCCTCAAAGCTAACTATCTAGAACTGAAATGAGAAACTTCCTCCAGAGGATGATGACTCTGGCTGTACTTTTTTTCTCAGTGAATTTTGTAAGGGGATCAAGCCTTCTGGGGGAATGTAGAACAGGGTTGACCAATATTGCTATGATTGAAGGGCTCAATCTCATTCATCTTCCATGTCTTGTTGTCCTGCAGTTGCTGTTTCTGGTAGTGTTTTTCCTACTTCTTTGAGAATGGGAAAATGATCTAAAGTGACTAGTCTTGATGATCTGTTCTCAACATATCACTTTATCAAGGATGTTCCTCCTTACCTTGATGTCAGTATGTGTAACTGTCTTAAACTTAGTCTGACAAACTATTCTGAACTCTTTTATATTTGAAGGACTCATCCATTTTTTTCCTTCTCTTTCCCTAAGGAATGTGAACTTGTTTTTCCTTTGAGGGAAAACTCAATGCAGTGAACTAATCTCCTGTTTAAAACATTGTATAAATGTTTTGTCTAGAGTTTGCAAAATCAGCTGTTCACTGCATGTTTTCATGTAAAAGTTGCAAGCAACTTTGTTCCTTTTAATCTTTGTTGCTTTGACACTTGAACAAGATTAAAGGCTGGGTAGTTTTTCACCTCTTCAGGCTAGCTGACAGATTGAAGTGGTTTTAATTTGAACTTGGTGTCTGCAAAATTTCTTCCTGTTAGTCCAATGTTCACTCTCAAGGCTGAGCCCTGTGCTAATCTTCAGTCACAGAAGGTTCTAACCTAATCTAGCAATGTTAAACTTCTTGGATCAATCTGGAAAGAAAAGTTGCCCTATTGGTAACTCTAACAGTTAAGACCACTTTTTGTCCAAGGCAGTCCACTTGTTTTCAAGTTTCAATCAGGCCAAGAAAGTATAATGTTGACCCTGCATCAAATGATTAGAAGTGGGGCAATGAATTCTGGCCTAACCAGTTACTAATTGTCCCAAACCCCTATGGTGTATGGCTTGCATCTTGGCCTCTCTTTGCAGAGACCATTCTATTGTCTTTAATTAGACACCAGGCCATCCTATTGCCACTTCAGGCACCCAGGAGGTCTGATTGGCTTGAAGCTAAACTAACTCATCACTGCTTAAGGTGTAATTTAAACACCAATGGATAATGTTTTGGTGCACATACTAATTCTTTGTATTCAACCTGTTGATTAAATTTAATCTTCACTTGAGCTGGCTGGATCATTAGCTTTGCACAAGATCTCAAACTTGAGCAAAATTTTTAGATTCCCCCTCTCTTCTGACTCCAGTTGTTGCCTGGATACTGGTCAATGTTGACCAGCTCTAGCCTGCACCATGGAGGGGAATGTGGATCACCTGAATGAATGCAGTAAGTGACCTATCTCCTACCCCTGTGGCTAGGGAGCGGCTTTCTTTAGCTAACCTTGTTTGAGCCTGGACTGATAGCGAGTAACTGCAATTGACTTGCCTTTTAAAGATCATTAATTTCAAATGAGTGGGCACAATCTTTGTAGGGAAAGAGACTGACAAAATTTCTTAACTATAGAAGTTGAGGAATTGAGCTTGCTGATGCCTGATAGTGCAAGGACAGCACTGCTAAGGGGCATGTTGGCAAAGTGAGGAGGGGATGGAAGGTTGATCCCTTGTCAGATGGGGACAGATCAGGAGTGGAACTCCATGACTAGCATAGACTAATAAGCTGAATGGTCTTTGCTCTGCAACTCCAGCAGAGACACCACCTCAGACCTCTTATTGTAGTGGTTAAAGTTGTTTGAAGGACAGATTTCTAGTTTGTAAATAGTCAAGGGGTGGCAGTAGGTTGGCTGCATGAGTATGCAGGGCTATGGAAAAGGCAGACAAGCACTGATAGCAATTCAGCTTATACTTAACAGACTACTGTCTCTGCTACTCAATGAGAATGTATAAACTCTAATATCATTAGACCTTCACAACTGAGTACCTGGAGTCTTGGTATCTACAGCCAGGGGCACAAAGTTGGAGTATCCCCCTCTTAGAATTCACTAGAATCAATCACAGCAGTGCAGACGGCTATTGGCTCACCTTTGCATGCACTGTATGATGCTGCAGTTACCCTCCTGGAGCAGGACAGCTTGAGCCACAATGTTTGAACTCAATCTCCCACTTCTCCACTTAACCTCCCAGTCCAGGAAGAAAAACAAATTGTCTCATGTGGTGGAGGAGCAGCAGCAAGAAGTTGAATGGTCCACCACCTATAGCTTTTACCTGCCTTGATGAAATCTGAGCTAGACCACCGTCTAACCCTATTGCCCCAAGGGTCCTGACCATGATTTAGCAGAAATAGGTTTTATAGGTGCCTATCAGGTAGATTGACCCGCAGTGTCACCTAGTCATGAATTTCTTAACTTATTTGACAGCCTTTATGACTATACTTTGAACTTAATGAGTTTTAGTATCAATTTCATAATCCTTTCTCTGAAAGATTTGAATAATCATGGTTAGTGTCATGTGACTTGTTTATTGCCCCTTTGTTTGCTAAAGCTCCTGAATCTGCAGCTTTGTGCAGAAGCCCTCTAGTTGGCCTTGCCTGCTTTCTAACACTGAAGGAGTGCAGCCTAACGTAATCAGGCTTGCTTACACTCTAAACTCAGTATGTTCAGGCATGGAAAATGTGTATTCCTAAAGTGGAACTCAACTTTAAAGGCATTGGAGCTGAAGTCTTAAACTGTTTCCCACAAGTGGGAATGTCTCCTCACTCCTTTCCCCTTCTCCCCCCACCAACAACCACCTGAAGGATATTGACCATTATTTTCACAAGGGGTGGAATATAAAACTATGCTAAACATCCCCAATGTCAATGTGGCTAGCAGATGGTTTCCATCCTGTGCATACCCCTCAAGCAAGAAAATTGCAGACTCTTCCTGTTTTGTCAGCTGACAAAACAGTGTCTTGAATGTAAGAAATCCCACAGTCTTGGTGCATTTACCTCCTGGTATTTATTGGGCTTCTTCTGAGGTGCAGTTTTTGCAATTAATGTCACAACTTAGCTCCTCCTATAGGTCATTCAGCCCACTATTGCAGTGTCTTGGAAAGCATTTGGGTTCTCTCTCCCTAACCAGCTCAGCTATGCTTCTGCTGTCAGTGGATTCAATGCCCATTCTGAGGGTCACTATTAAATGAAATGTGGTGGTTGGGTAATGGAGGGTGTATGCAGTTGGCTGTTACAGCTGTCTTTAAATTGAAGCCTCCATGTTTTGGGTCATGCTGTACAGCAACTGAGCAAACTTCATCCAATACACTGCTGTTTAATCTGAACACTATAAAGTATCAGACTCTGACTCAGATTACTAGTCAGCAGGAGACAATGTGAATTCTAATTCTGTTGCCTCTTCCCAGAAGTGGGGCAATCTGGTATGATGTAATTTCCTCAGTGTCCTGGCTAGGTTCCCAGTTCAAATCAGATGCTGTCTTTCCGAAGACATCCACCTTCCATCTCTAGGTAAGTCCTCAATGCTCATTTCTGTAGGAGCTGCCAAGGACTTGTTGTCCATCCTCAATTGCCTCTGAGGTAATGGTTAGCTTTTGACCTGCTCCAGATGTACGCCACTCATCCACCAAGCTAGTGCTCAGGACTGATCTTCAGAGCAAAATTTGTCTTCTGGCTGGAGACAGATAGCCACAGGTTATCCTCAGTAACTGTATTCGCCAGGCCTGCCTTCCAGCATAAGGGCACTTTTTAGAATTCTGATGTTAACAGTTCACTTAACTGAAGAGTCTCGACTCTTCAATTTGGGTCAGCTAAAGATACAGCTGGATTTTTTTGGAATCAGCCAATCTGTCATCTACAAAATGATCCTCCAAGGTAAATAAATGATTTAAACTCAAATCCTGGAAGGGGCTCTTGTCCAACAAGTTCTCTTGCCAACATTCAATGTCTGTTTGTGACAAGCACAGTCCCACAGCCCTGCAAATTGCTCTTCCCTCAATATGATCATGCAGCTCAGTACTTGGGTCCTAGTTTAACCCCATGTTCCTTTGAACCCTCTGGCCTTAAGAACTAATCTAACTAAAGCAGTTGATGTTTCTGCCCTGTCTCCTATGGCAGAATTCTACAAGTGAATAAAGTTCTCATCTGTCCCAAACAGCCTACCCCCAAAATCCTTGCCTGAGTTTAACTCAGCAATATAGTGCTCAAACCTTCATGGTAATTAACTTTCAGGAATTCTGGAACTACAGTAAGGAATGCTGGGGGCAGGGACAAATCTGTTTTGTCAGGTATGAAATCAGACCTTGTTAGGCTCCA